CAGGATCTCTGTGGGTGGGGCCTGGGCATCCTTTTTGCATTTCAAAGCTTCCCAGGTGAATCTAAGGAGCAGCCAGAGTCCAGAAGCACTGATGTAGCCCCGTGGTTCTCAAAGCCTGAGACTCACCAGCGGAGAGGGTTGGTAAATGCGTGGCTGGGCCCATGCCCAGAGTTTCTGATTCGGTGGGAATAAGGCCTGAGAATTTTCATTTCTATAAATTCCCAGGTGATGTGATGCTGCCGATCGGAGGGTTTGAGAAGCACGAATCTAGTCTAAGCAGTATATGGATACAATACTGAGGCTCGGTGGGGAGATGTCCCTAGGTCAGTGATGGCGAACCTATGACACGCGAACTCATTGTTTTTGGTTGATTTTTCTTTGTTAAATGGCATTTAAATATATAAAATAAATATCAAAAATATAAGTCTTTGTTTTACTATGGTTGCAAATATCAAAAAATTTCTATATGTGACACGACACCAGAGTTAAGTTAGGGTTTTTCAAAATGCTGACATGCCGAGCTCAAAAGGTTCGCCATCACTGCCCTAGGTCGTCCAAAAGTTGGTGGCCAGGGTCCTTGGTTCGAGTGTGTCCCCATCCTAGGTTTCTTGTTCCCAGCAGAGCAGTTGACTGTTGACCAACAATCCTTACCGGTGGCTCATTTCTTTGTCCTCTACTCCTGGAAACCCCTCTAGCTCAAGCCCCATCTCCTCCATGAAGTCTTCCTCAATCTCTTCCCCACACTAACTGCACTTCACTCAGATGCCTTTTTCCCTACCAGACATTTTGTCCTAGAATTATAATCAATTGATCTGTTCATCGTATATGTACTAGCTAACGTAAATTGGTGACCTATTTATTTTATTTAAAAAATATATATTTTATTGATTTTTTTACAGAGAGGAAGGGAGAGGGATAGAGAGTTAGAAACATTGATGAGAGAGAAACATTGATCAGCTGCCTCCTGCACACTCCCCACTGGGGATGTGCCTACAACTAAGGTACATGCCTTTGACCAGATTCGAACCTGGGACCCTTGAGTCCGCAGGCCGACGCTCTCTCCACTGAGCCAAACCAGTTAGGGCTAGTGACCTATTTAAATTGTTCTCTAATTGCTTCACATGTGCAGATGTCCATCAACATTTCTATTTCTCTCATAACCCTCTAACCCTGAGGACTAGGATGGGGCTGGGGACATAGCTGTTAATGGATAAAGGGGAATGCTTGAAAAATACTTGTTGGAAGGACATGAACTACAAACCAACTGATAAAGTATTATGGACTCTTTAGTGCCAAATGAAAATGAAGTCAAAAGACATTTTCTTTGGAAGATTTTAAGATTAAGCCTTCTTGTTCCAATTCCCTTTCTAACCATCTCCTCCCCTCTGCCCCTTTCTCCCACCCCATGGAGAGCTCCTTAGGGGAGGACATGGCTTATTCATCCCAAGGGCTGAGCCTGGTGCCTGATGCCACAGGTAACATGTCAGGATGGACAGGTGGAGGCATCCTCAGTTCCTACTGGCCGAGTAGGGAGGGTTAAGAGCATTACTTATTGCAGAGTTGGGGAAGTAGGACCAGTGCTTCCATTCCTATTTCTCTACCCTCCTGACAATGGCCTACTTGAAGGGCTTAAGCCAGGGCATGGTCTGTACCTGCTGCAATGGAATTGGACTGGAGTGGGTGGGGGGTAGACCATAAGCCCACTGTGAATGGGGAACCGTGTGGCCCTGGATTTCCTAGTGGCAGAAACAGCAGATTCCTGCCTGAGGCCTTGTGCCCAGCCCTAGAGTGAGAACAGTAGAGCAGGGCCTGGATTAGGGGATATTGTTTCTTCTCATCACTTTGATGGTTGAGATGAAGATGAGGAGGTAGCCTCAATGGAACCAAAGAAATTCTGCTCTTAGCCATTCCTACCCAAGTACCTCCCTTAGTGGGCAAGATTCTCCTGTTTCCCCTAAGCTTCTCCTTTGCCTCTTTTCTGCCTGGCTAGTAGCTTCCTGCTGTTCAAAGCTGTTGCCTTGGCAACTGTCACTAAGCCCCTCCTTCCAGAGAAGGGGCCAGGCACCACTGAATTCATTCTCACAGGATGGAGGAAGACTGTGGGGTCAGTGATGATGCTATGGGGCTGAGGCTGCTGCCCTGCACCCTGAGCAAATCTGAGTATGGACTCAAGAAGAGTGAAGGGCCAGGGTCTTTATGTGGGAAAACACCCCACCATTAAATTGGTTCCCCTTAGCATTCAAAGCAGCACTCTCTCTCAGATGGACAGATACCAAATTTCCATGAGACTCTTCCAGAAGTGGTAGCTTTTAGTCACAAAAGTTCTTGTGCTATTGCCAGAGGAAGAGGGAAGAGATAGCTGCCAGGACTCCTGGTTGGCTTGACCTCAGTCTTCTATCTCTACATCATGGGAAGTCCCGGCTCCATTCTTCCTCTCAAGAGGAAGTGTCCAGTGACTCTCGCCACCCTCCCTGTGACAGCTGCTCCTCTCCTGTGAGATTCCAAGGCACTGGCTCAGGCCCAGGAGCTGTAGAACCTGTCCCCCTCCTTCTGGCCTGGCCCAGGATCTCCCCTCTGGGCAGAGCAGCCTCCCTCCCCACAAGCCTGGGCACCGGCCTGGACCCCCAGCAAGGCCTGGACACAAAGTCAGAAGGAGGAACACCACATGCCTGGGCCTCCCTCTCTGGTGCTTGGGACTAGATGGTACCCACGGCGAGGTTGAAGCTGGGATTGCGCCAAAGACACCTTTTCATCACATCCTCTGCAGCATCCCAGTTAGGACCAATCCCAGCCATTCACCTCTTACTGAATCGGAGACCTAAGCAGATTTGTTGTGTTTCGTTTTTTATTCCCATCTGCAACCCCAATCTTTTAATAAACCAGTTAAAGCCAGAATCAAATCTGCATAACACTCAAACGTCAGAGCTAAAACCAAACCAGAACAGAAAATGTTCTTGGAGATGAACCTGAACTAAGCTACCCTATTGCATTCAGTCTAAATGCCCCGAGAGAAGAGCGGCACTGCCCAGGGAGCCCCGCCCCTCCTCTGACTCTCATTCCATGAGGTCTGCCCCCAGCTTGTGCGACTCTCCCAGAAACCTTCAGGAGGGCAGAGAAGATGGACAGTGGGCCAGGAGGCCGGGCGGGGGGAGGGGGGTGTCAAAAGAAGGGGGTAGGGCCAGGGACTGGCAGGCAGAAGGCAGGGGAGGCCAACTGGACCGCAGAGGTCTTTCCCCGCCCTAATTCCTTTTCTCCCTCTGGCAACACACCGAAGTGGGCAGAGCACGGGTCTGCGGTTCAGGGTTCCTGGGTTTCTGGTTTGGCTCTTTTTGCCTGGCCTTGATTTCTGCTTACGGGTATACATTTAGGTCCGTTACCTTGTCTCTCTGAGCCTTAGTTTCCCCCTCTGAGTAACAGGAAGAAGCAATCTGCTTGGGCCCTGTCAGTGGAGAACCACAGACTGCTGAGAGACAAGGGCTTTGGAGCACATCTCATCCAAACACTTCCATTCAAAGGACACAACTAGTATTGGTGGAATGGGGGCTCCACCTGGCTCCCAGCCGGTGTGATCCAGAGGAAGCGCATGGCTGAAGGGGGCTACGGGCTAGGTAGGAGGGTCCTGGGGGGGGAGGGGGAAGGTTCAAGGTCAGCCAGAGGGAGCAAAGGGAATTGGGGCGGGGAAAGACCTCTGCGGCCCAGTTGGCCTCCCCTGCCTTCTGCCTGCCAGCCCCTGGCCCCACCTCCTTTTCTTTGACCCCCTGGCCTCCCGGCCCACTTTCCATCTTCTCTGCCCACATTGTTCTGTCTTGGATTGAACAAGGGTTGAGTTTCAAAGTTGTCCCCTATCCCTGCCAGACCCAGGGTGATAGTGAGGGGCTGTGAGAGAGTCCCAAACAGAAGTGGGATTTTAAAATCCACCTGGTTGAGTCTATTGTGTGGTGGCCCACAAAGTGACAGTTCTATTCAGTTTTAAGCTTGTGTCCCCAGGGCCAAGTTTCAATGCCCAGAAGACAGCATTAAACTGAATTAGGCCAAGACCACATGGCTAATAAGGGTGATAGAAGGGGATTCATTTACACACAAACCTTGATTCTCCTAAGAAAGGATAACACTGGGCCACTCTAGCTGTTCATTGCGGCTAAATGTCCAAATTCTCTCCTTGCCCACTCTTCCCCCTTCAGCCCCCAAGGCCAAAGTGGGACAGTCACCTCTTTCCTGGGAGGCAACGATAAACTCCAAATCTAATTTGGTTGGTGGC